TTTATAGGGTAGTCATTGGTTACAAAAAATAAAATTGAGAATTATTATAATTTTAGATATAGTTTTAGATTTATAATTTATACTTGGTTAAATCCACCCAAATGTATATGTTGAAAATATGTGCAGCTTACATCTAACGTAGTTTAAGAATACAAATCCATGGCCATTAAATTTGTCACAGACAACGCAGGATCATGGATCACTGATTAGCTAGTAGGTATAAAATATTTTAAATTATAAAAATATGGAAGTTATTCGAGACTTAATGTAACTCATCAAAAATATTATAATCCCGACCAATAGTTGAGGAACTTCTGATTAGTGATGGTATATATTTATATTATTTATGCACTTATGAGTTATGACTTATATATACCTATAATATCAATGGGCAATGATGGAAAAACTACATAAAGCGTATATATAGCGTACTCGACAGTAGTGCTGTATATTATAATATTAGTTTCATCTTGGCGAGATTAATGAGTAATGACTATATATTATATATAGTATTAATGGTGTAGAGTCTATTTTTCAATGCCAAGATTGGGTAATAAATAATAAATATTATAAACGCAATATTAAACGTACTTCACCAACAATAATATACTCAAATGAGTCAAATGTCATCGAATAATTTATTTTGCAATACAATATTTGGCATTTGATAAGACGTATTATCAACAGTTATAACCATTTCCGGGTTATTACCACAAATATTTTCTTGCGAACTGTATAATACCGATGTCCGCCACGGTGAGTGGTGACATAGATATATAAATATATAATCTATTATACTATACTTTTACATCCATAGATATATGTCCCGAACATAATTCAATTACCTAATACTAGTAATACTGAGTAATACAAAACAAAATTAATTCACAAATTCAAAATGCATCATGTTTTATTAAAGGTGCACAATATTATTCATTCATTATTTGGATATTTGAACAAAGCAGGAGCATATTTAGTCTTTCTACTAGGGTTTAGTGGGGGCTCAATTTTTCTTTACTACTTACCCAAAGATATTCAGAATATTAAAGATTTTCAGAATATTTGAGCTATAATATAAACAGTAAACGCACGTTATATTGTGTAGTGTTTAGGTTAGACTATTCTATTTACTACCTATATAACATAATGATATATAGTATAGTCTAACCTTATCTGTAACATCCATATGACCATAATATGCATTACATACTTTATAAAATGTTAGAATTTTTTTATTTTTATGGTATAAATATTGAAAAATATTTTTGATTTATGATAAACAGATAAATCATACTTGTAGGTTTTCGTATGATATAATAATCAGCCAAAATGCAAATCCATGGAAGAAAGTGATTGCTCCCATCAATGTTCCCTTAGGTAACCTTTTTAAATATGTCCATTGTCCATACACACTAATATTTATGTTACAATATTGCTTAAATATAATATACACAATATGCTATAGAGTATAGATAATAATACAGTAAAACCTCAATAATCAGGAGTCCGGACCTCATTAGTCCGGACTTCGTTTAATCCGGACAGCCGTTTATAATACGTAAATTACGCAAGTTTATGCCGTAGATTAGAATAAACACGAAAACGAAGTACAAAAAGATGATGTAAGAAAATTTGTTTTGAAATTTAATGTAGAAAAAGAAACAAGCGTTGTAAAAAGAAAGCGGTTGCCACTAGATCAATCCCTTGATGATGCATTTTATCCAATAACATTTTTTTTGAATTTATAATTAACGATTTTTGATTATTTTGTTTAATCCGAACTTTCATTATTTCGGACAAACTAGAGCCGCAATTAGCCCGAATGAATGAGGTTCTACTGTATACCATCACGTCTTTTATTAGATTGAATATCACAAAGTATTACTGTGCATGGTGATTGGTGAATAAGAAAAGTGTTTTAGATATCTATCAAATTATATTAAATTTTCGTACAAAGTGGAATATCGCACTCTAGGCAATTGTATTTTGTTGATTTTGTGAGTGATATTGTAGTACCTATGTGTTTATGAGGATTTTGTTCGTGACTCAACTAGTCAACTGCTTACTAATAGCGTGCCGTACTTCTCATATGGCTCATACTGCGTACTAATAAGTGCTTATAATACACCTGCCGTTGTTCATATATATATATATATACATATATATATTATGTATAATTATTGTGTTTATGCTGTTTATAATTCGGTATGACGTGGTGAATCAACTTAATTTATACTTTTTCACTTGCACCGTCTGACGACCAACGACCGGTGGCGGCAGACTACATAATATAGCCAATTGCCAATAGATATATCATTTATAATATTATAAAACTGCAGCAGTTCGCAACATAATAGCGGCTGAGAGACAATGTGCAGGTATAACCGCATAATTGCAATTTATTAAATTTAGTATTATATTATTATAGTAGCTTCCTATATACTTATTCTCGTTTCTGTAACGAACATTGGTAAACATTTTGTGTTTAATTTTTTTAATAATAGCGACAATATAGAAATAATAATTACTTACATGTAAATATGTAATTACTAATTACCTACCTATATAATATTATTAACTACGCTTATAGGTACTAAAAAATAAAAAAAACAATTTTATTTCGACACTAACTGTTTTTAAATATCACAATATTTTATTATTATTACATCAATAGTCTTTTATAGTATTAATGTGTAATACATAATTACACATGAAGATAGAAAAAATATAGAAAAAAATTAAAACAATTGAATCCTCTAGTAAATTCAAGTGTAGCGTACCTTCAGTTTTCATAATTTTATTTTAAGATTTAAAACGACTTCCATGAAGTAAAAAATTTACTTGTATTTAATTTGCATAGTATAATGGGTTATAGATAAAATAATTATTATGAGTGAAGCGATAAAATGTTTTTTGATCATTGTCACCTATCTATACGTGAAAAAGATTTCGATAGCATAGAATAAATTGATTGTACATATAGTTGTATTCCGGATACCTACGAATTTTTAAGCAATACGTCATTGACTGTACACAGTACCTACTTTAGGTATTTATAGAATAATATAGTTTTATTACTCATTAATCATTATTCATTAATGCTAAATTCTAGTCACCGATAGATGATAATATAATATACAGTGTAAACTCGTATATTTATACTGTATTTTCTTACGTTGTGCCTCAGATGATTTAACTTTATTACTATTGACGTATATTAGATCATATTAAGTTTTTTTCCCCTTATTTTTGTCATTTATTGCGGAAATAAGGTATAACAATAGCAACAGGTTTGGTCGAGGTCCATTACAGGTTTAATCCATATTGAGGATTAAACCTCGGGCATAATCAGTGGCATAGCTGATGGGTGGACGCCCCCATCCCCCTTCGAATTTTTGTATTGGTGATGTCTTAATCACGGTTATAGTATATATGGGTGTTAAAATAGTATAGCTTAAATTACTTCTGCAGCTGACTTGTGCCTAGTGTGTAATAAGAAGGAATAGCCTACCAGCCACTAGGTAGGTACTATAGGATAAATTTTCAACAAAATAGTTATTATTTGAGAAATCGAATGTTGTGCAATCACTAGCTTAATGTGACCCAGTTATGGCCCACCCTTTTACAGTAATAATTATAAAAATAATTAAGAGGATGTCAGTACACTATTTGTTTTCTCTCTCTCTAAACCACTAGTTTAATTTATAATTTTATTAGAGTGAATTCATTTATCATCAAACTTTAAGTTAGTAAGTAGTGTTCTTATCTAAGTTCATTGTACTCTTTATTAAGTTAGATATTTTAGAGAGTTTATATCTATTATTTTTATTTTTCAAAATTGTTAACTATAATTATTTGATATTTTCTTGACGTTAACTTAACAACACTATAGTTAATTTCTTCATACATTTTTGCAGCAAAATTCCTATGGCTAGGTAAACACATTTGGATATGAATATATGATCATAATTCATAGGTGGTGTTTTATAAATCTTCATGTTATAAGTACCTATCATTTTGATTATTAATTAAACAGTAACAATAATAAATAAGTGAAAAAAACATCGTAATTAGCGCTTCTTACAAAATACTAACCGTTACGAGTACCATAATTTGTTGTTAACGTAATATGTTGTCGTTGTGTACAAACTAATTTTATTTTTATCACAGTACAAATATTTAATAATTCACGCCGTAAAGATATTTTCAGATTATTCCGTTGCTGGCAGGGCTTTTAAATCTCAAACGTCACAGACAGTCATAAAGGAAAACACATTTAAAGCTTTTAAAATACATAATAAAATAATGGTAGGCGAAAATAAGTCAACTTAAAAAAAGCACAAATAAATACACCAAGAAAAAAACATTAGGTGTATAACAAGTAACTATATAACATCTTAGGTGTATATATACTACATTTATACAAAATTAACACATGATAATAATTTATGACATTATTTTCATTATAATATATTATATTTTGTTATTGGTACACGCCACACGGCAATTACCAATTAGGAGTAGAGTATACATGTGTATTATACACTATACATTTTTTATATGGGCTTTTTTTTCAGCGATTCTAGAATAATACACCCATTACCCATCAGCGGAGCTTACACGGTTTAGGGGGGGAGGCTCTTGAGGAGGGTACAGCCTCATCCGAAAAATTTTTAATTTAGCTTTTTTAAACACTTACCAATTTTGCAGTCGTCAATTCGTCATGGTTTATTTTTGTGATGTATAATTGATCAGCCTCCCCCCCTCAAAAAAAAAATCCTGGATACACCACTGTAGGCACTGATATACATTACCAATATCCCATATCATAGTAATAGCATTTTTATATTAATAATAATATATTCTGCGGCAATAGCAAGTGCACTGCCGAACATAATATTATTGTACCGCACATTTATTGAGTAGATTCCGATTCACACGTATGTCGTATTGGCTGCACTGATCAAAAAGATGATGGATTTTATGGCAACTAGTTAAGGTGGGGATAAAAGATAGAACCGATAGATGTGCGAAATTGTTTTTTTTTTGTGGATTCGTTCCTCAAATGATTTGGCGATATAATCTGCAAATTATTTTTCATAATATTATCATGTTGAGCGTTAATGTTTTTAATTAAACCGATCCGAGTAGTCGTCGATGACGGAATATTGCAATACAGAGTGAATTACGTTGGTCGTGGCATTTTAATGCCAAATTTTATGATGACACAAAAGCTTGTGATAATGGTAAGACGTTTCGAGCGAACTTGAGTCAATTACATCGTTAATGTTATAATGTAATATTGAGTGGGCATTCCTCGACTAAACTGATGTTTTTTTAGCAGTAAATTAATTAACAATCAATTACGTTACATCATCCTATGGGTTAGATTTTGTATCACAGATGAAATGTATTATTTTATTTTTTATTGTTAAACAAAAATAAATAAATGAATATGTATGTATGTTATGTATTTGTTTTATTTATTAAAATTATTATTTTTCTGTGTAGGATGTTCTCTGCTAGAATAAATAGTTGTGCTCAATAATGGACGAGAAGTTATTAAATGATTTGCTCGAGTGTTCAGTATGCTTGGAACGGTTGGATACATCAAGTAAAGTGCTATCTTGTCAGCATACATTTTGTAAAAAATGCCTGGATGAAATTGTAGCTACTCATAAAGAGCTACGATGTCCAGAATGTCGAACACTTGTCGAGTGTCGGGTGGATGAACTGCCACCCAATGTATTACTCATGAGAATATTGGAAGGTATGAAGAGTAAAAATGCCATGATATCACCGCCTAAAAAACCTTCAGCTGTTGCATGTTCTGATCAAAGACCACCAAAAACATCAAAACAAGTTAATATTATTATAATTATTTTTGTTATTTTATTTATTTATTTATTCTTTCCTAACCTTCAACTTTCAACCTATAACAATAAATAATTGTATAATTTCCTTCTTATTGTACATTTATTTTTCTATTTAAATGATAATAAAATTAATCAATCTCATAAATGTGGAAAAGTAAAATACTTGAGTAAACATTTCCCTTTTTAAACTTTATTATAATTAAATCATGAAGTTCAATCATTGGATGGATTCTTCCTTCAAGAGTACAGTCCAATTACTACCCCTACATCATTTATACTTACTGTAAAAAACATTTGTAGATTGTATGATAAATATTTTAACTACAAAAAAAAAAGTTTAATTATAATTTAATTTCCTGGGTATATCAACTTTTATAATATAATCTTGTCTAGATACATGAATATTTTCTTTTCAAAATTAAATAGTGAAACAGTTTATTCACCTCAAAAATTATCAAATTATCTTTTAGACTTTGAAGTTACACAAATAAAAAAAAAATATTGCTTATAAGAAAGAAAATAATTAATTTAAATTCTAGTATAGGTATTTCTATAACTTTCTTCTTTAATTTCAAGATTTAAAATTACACTGCATCTGTATTTGTAGTCTATATCTTACAAACACATAGCCCACTATAACATACAAAATTTCAGCTCTTTAGAAAACTTTAAGATGTGCCAGCTTACATATATAGAAAAATAGATCTGTTATCAAATTGTAGGATAAAACTGTTGTTTTATTGATGATTTTTTTAATTTACACTCTAATTTTAAACTAAGTATGTAAACAATTACGAGAGAACACAGATAATATTTTTACCTTTTTCTTAGATTTACTTAAATTGTACGATAGGTCAATTTACTATAGTATTAAAATGAACAAAATATCAGGTTTAGCTGCAAGTATTTTTTCTGGTTGTGTGTTTGGAAGATTGAGGCAGCAAATAAAGGCTAATAATGTCTCAATTATGCTTCAAATATATGTATTTTTTTAAATTGTGTATCAAAATTATTTTAAATATCTACATATGTATAATATTTTATTTAACTTGAAGGTGCCATATCAACGTAATATGTTTGCAAGAGCATTATACGATTATTCTTCCAAAGAACCTGGGTAAATATTAAAAGTTTATTGGTTGTAAAATTATTAAACTTTATAAATAATTCATGCGATTTAATTGTATACTTCAAACAAATAATTGGGGAAAACTAAAATATTAATACTTATTTCAGGGATTTAAGTTTCAAAAAAGGAGACATGATTATATTACGTCAAAAAGTTGATTCCAATTGGTATCAAGGTGAAGCTAATGGAGTAATTGGTATATTTCCCCTATCATATGTACAGGTTGGTTTTATTTAAAGAACCTATAGCTGTGTTCTTAGATTATAACAAAAATTAGTATTAATTTTATGAAGTATACTACATTATTACTTGATGCAATTATATATTTACCCATTTTAACCAGCAGCATATTGTTGTGCAATAATTATTTGACCTCTTTTCATAAAAGTTTTTATTCATTTTATAGTTTCAAATAAAATTCATAGCAAAACTTAGTTGTTATCTTTAAAAAAAATCCTTACTATTGTGTATTAAATATAAAAAATATTACATTCATATTAATATTTAATATTCAATTATACTAATTATTGATTTATTTATTGAATATTGAGTAACATTTTCATTATAATATACTCTGTAGTATTTAATATGTATGTGCATACCAATATATAGACTGTCAAATTACCTACAATCAGTTATTTTTATGGGTATGAAATGCGGTTGGTAACAAAGGCAATGAGGCAATATTAATGATCTTAGAAAGTAAAGGATGTAATAGAGAATACCAAACAATACCAAATTAGGTCCATATTAAATGCTTAATATAAAAACATACTTAAGGGGTACAAACCAGTAAAGTTAATTTTTTTAAATTGTGTAGTTCTCTAAAAACTAATGTATTTTGTCCCACACCAATAGAAACGGTCTAGAGGTTGCCTCCAAGCATAGATCAATGCAAACAGCTAAAATAGACTGGGTATGTGCTCTACGAACAAGACAGGAAGGAAGTAAAGGATGTTTGTAGAAGTAAAGTCTTAAATGGACCGTAAAATCTAGTGAAAAAGACTTACCAAAATGTTATTTTAATGATTTTATTGAGATTCTTTAGCTATGCATATTAAGAGACAGAACTGTTATGATCGGACATTAGACCCATGTCATTTCACCATTCAAATTCATATCTCCCTTATTGGTGTGTTTAAACACATCATTCTGAGAGGCTTAGCCTAGATTTAGCACCCAGTTTTATTTTCATATAGCCATACATACCATGTATTATAGTATGTAATAGGTATACTAAATGTTGATAAATTTATTTTAACATTATTAATCGATTAATTATTGTGCTTTTATTTGTTTATTAAAATTAGGTATTTCCAACATCACTTCCTAGTCATATACCACAATGTAAAGCATTGTATGATTTTAAAATGAATAAAGAAGACGATGAAGGATGTTTATCATTTTCAAAAGTAATTTTTAATAATTTATTAATTTAATGATTGCATTGTAGCAATACAATAAATATTTATAATTATGTTTAAAAAAATATAAGTTCTAGTGCTTAAGATTTATAATATTTAATAATAATTACAATAATTGACTAGCTATCATTGTATTCAAAAGGCTAATAAAAAATAAATAAATTTTTAATAATAAAGATTCTAGAATTGTTTTAATTAATTTTTATACTGTATTATTGTTACAAGATAATGTTAATTAGAATTGTTTCCTTATTAGGGTGATATAATCACAGTTTTAAGACGGATTGATCAAAATTGGGCCGAGGGAAAAATTTCCAATCGCATTGGAATATTTCCTTTATCTTTTGTTGACTTAAATCAAATAGCTCGTGCATTAATGAAACTATCAGTTAGGTACGTATTTCAAAATTTATAAAATAGGATAAAATATTATTTACCATTTTATTTCCAGTTCACAACCTACTCAAAGTAGAATGGCTCCTCCTACTCCCGAAGAAGCTGCTCCTTTATTGCCAATTGAACTATCTGCTGCTTGCCAATCAACAAATACCAAACACAATGCAACTGATGAAGCAAAACATGTATTAGATAATACAAAGGTTACCAATGAAAATACTTCATCATCATCTTCTTCTACAACTACCACGTCTCCAAATACTACTTCTCCGTCTGATACCACATCTAGCTCTCCTAGCCGGTCACCATCACACGCTCCTTTTGTTGATAATTCAATAAATCGTTCTTTACCAACATCAAATCCAGATCCACCAAAACGACATAGTTTCACAAATGGGGTTGGGCCTCTTTCATTAGGCCCGCATACATCAGAAAACAAGCGGTTAGTTTTAAAATAATAAACTATTTTGAACCATACAGATTCTTTATCAACTAAAATAATTTATAGTATGAATATTATATTTTCTCTATAGTATTAATACTTTATTTGTTTTCATAGTAAATATTTTATTTGGACAAATAACAAATAATAGAAAATGAAATATATTCTTGGAAACTAAATTAATATAAGCCTACATTTGTTCAATTTTAAAATGTTAAGTCTAATTTACTGATCTAAACAAATTACAGTTCTATTCTGTGTACTAAAAATTTGGAATTTAAAACGTACTCTTATTTGAATGAATATATGTTTTGCAAACAATAAGATTGTTTAATTGTAATTACCTATAATATTATTTTCATTTATTTGTGATCAATACATTTTTATCATTCCTTTTTTATTTATTACTACTTAATCCATTGTTGGTACACATGTGAGCACGCCGTTCACACAGATAATATTTTGAGCATTATTTGTATAAATATTATTGAATTAACCTGTGATAATAAATTTAATAATTTCTACATATACATTTAATATTTATTTTAATGAGTTTTTAATTAATTTATATTACTTAGTATGTACAAATAATTTTTTTCAAATAAAATTGCTGTTTTTTATTTAATAAATTGTTAGTAGTTCGCAAAAAGTATATTTTAGTATTTTACCTTTCAGTAAAGGATAAAATTATACATAGGTGTATGTACGATTCAATTTTTTAAGTTAATTGAGCAATTAATAATGCTTTAAAAAGTAAAGTGTGAGCAGTGCTCACAGTGCTCACACTTTAGTAATCACATTATAAGTTATAATTATTTGACTGATATAAAATAAATTGTTTAGAATAAAAGTATGGTAAATACTCCATTCTAAGATTAATTTTATGGTTATATTTAAAAGTAACTGATTATAATAACAACCCAGATATATTAGATGTTTTTCAATAAAGTATTTTAAAATTAAAAATAATATAATTCATTAAATTAATAAACCTATATGTGTTTTAGATATTCGGCTGAGATTTTGTCACAAGATGATATTGCTGTTTTTTCCAGTCCAAATACTAATTTAGAAATTCAATCCACTCAGGTAAATAAATAGCACTGATTTACACAAAATTTATTAGAAGATGAAAGCTTTTCTGGCCGTCATAGAACAGATTAGTAAAATAAAAAATAATTGCTTTTAAAATATAAAGAAATATTTTTTTTTGTCACACCTGCAGCGTAAGTTAAATTTTTGATGCCAGTTAAAGCATTCCCCTTAGCAGACAGTTAAATATAGTTTTATTCTGCCTGTTATAGCAGTTCACATATTTTTGGAAAAAATTACAATATTATTAATGTAAATATTAACTGTATAAATAAGACTTTCTCGCTGTCTTTACTGGGAACTGTTTTTATTTTATTTTTTATTGATTTATCATAGAATTTATATTTAACTAAATTATTGTCTTACTCTCAAAGACAACATACTTTCATGACACCTCCTCTATAGTAGAGCGTCTTCCCCAATTTTTTTAATTTATATAACATACATTTTTCTTTCTTTGTCATCTAAATTAATAATTATTTATTTGATATCATAGTAGACTCCTCTTTATTAAACACATTGATTTTGTGTTATTTCGTCCCAATAATTTATAATGGATAAAAGAAACAAAAATTTGTTAGTGGTTAGATAATGATTTAATAATTTACATAGGTATAAGGATATTTTTATAACATTATAAATATAGAATAAATGTTTCATTTAAATATAAGATAATAATTATTTTTATACAAAAATAAATACATAGGTACCTATTATTTATGGAAAAAGTGATTAATAGAACTTTGTTAATTACTTGACAAATGTAGTCCGAACCGAAAAAGAAAATTTTTATTGAGTTACTATTGGTTACATATTATATTTCTATTATAATAAATTACCATTGACATTTTTATAAAATGTAATATAATATATTGAAGGAACATTAATAATATGTATAAATATATTTTTTTTTGTAGCCAGTGAATGGAGTGAAAGATTCTAAACTTCATCGTCATGGAAGTCTTAGAAGTCATTCCAAACCAATAGTTACCCAGAATGTTAGGTCTAAAATACCTATCCAACTGCCAGCAAAGTGAGTTTTTAACTATCATAATTATTAATTATAGTTTATAATGAATTGTCGGTAGTGACCATAGACCTACAACCTAATGAAGTATGAACAATAACTAACATTTATAGATTCCTAAGCAATGCAGGCTTCTTATTAAAAATTGAACACCCCCAACATTCATACCAACCTGTCATGGGCGCGCTTAATCTCCTCTCCCTCTAGGACAGGCGACTAATTGCGGATCGTAACTTCCTTTTAAAATTAATCCAGGGTAAAATTGATGCTCCACGTCTCCTTGAGCGTATTAGCTTAAGAGTTCCTATCGCCAATACCACATCAACCGATTCCTTTCACATCCCAACTTCCCGTTCAAACTTTTTATCTAATGATCCTTTGGTTAGAGCTATGCGCAATTTAAATAATAATAATTTTGATGTATGGCCTTAAATTTTGTATTCACCCAACGTGTGTAATTTTCCTATTATAATTATTATTATTCTTATTTCTTACTATATTGTTTAACATTATCATTTATGTATTTTATTCTTATCACTAACGTTAATTTATGTAATATCGTTATTGCTGTATGTAAAAAGCCATTTGGCATTTATACATATAAATAAATAAATAAATAAATAAATAAATAGGTTATAATCAGGGCTCTGGACTTATATAATTTGCTTGTTTTTATAGACTGACATAAAATGAGTACTATGGAAGTGTATGTCATATTACAATCCGTTCAATCATGAAATTTAAAAGCCCTTTTTTTTTGCTTTTATTCAACAGTTTAAAACAACTGCTGTTGTCCTGATTATTGTTGCTTTTATACACATCTCTGCTTAATTATGATTTATGATAACACATGCCACTGACAAAACCCTAGAAATTGTAGTTAATTTTTTTTTTTATTTATTTACGGTGATGGTAGAACTAAAAAATGTTTTCTTCTTTGTATCATATTTCTTACTAATAAACGTTGGAACTCGTTTTTCCTCGCTTATCTACTAATAGGTCAAATTAATTAAGTATTTTTGGTTATTAGTAAAATTTTCAGAAAATCTACGAGAAGTACAATTAAGAAGTTGAAATGTTTCAAAAAACTTAAGGAAGCTAAAAGTTTTTGAATTTTTTAAATATGAATTTTTTCCGTTTCTCAGTATAAAAATTAAATTATTACATAAGAAAAAAAAATTGACCATTAATAGGTTTTTACCATACCTGTTCTAAGGGAATGAAGCACTCTCTCTCTCTCTCTCTCTCTCTCTCTCTCTCTCTCTCTCTCTCTCTCTCCAGACACTTCAACTGCCCTGATAAAATTGCCACCCACAACCAAATTAAAATTGAGCAGTGTGCATCTTAACTGCCTCTTTGAAGTACGGTTTTTAAGCTGCTACTAACCTTTATGGCCAGCTGCAACATACTACTAGTGAACCCATACTCCGTTCCATATAAGAGCTCACTGCCTTGGCGCATCCAAATGAATCTGGGTGCGACGTTTGGACCCCCCGGCTGAGTATTTTCTCTGTTATTGGTTGTTGTTAATCTGCTATAATCGTCGCCACCAATGGTGCTGAACGATCGGTGACATTTCCAAGTGTAGTGGGGATAAATGCACGAGCTTCTACCAGTTTTTGTTAACTTTGTGGTGCGCTCTTATTTGGAACAGAGTGTAGTTTGGTCTTTGGCCGCAACAATTATAAGGCAATTCCATAACAGAATAGTCACTGCGACAAGCCACAATAACTATTCACAGCTGAAAACCATTCCTTTAAACTATGACATTGTGTTCTAGATTTTTGTTATTTATTGAAATTATTGTCTTCTGCTTTTACTCTTACAAAAACTTATAGAATGGATCTTATTGTAGATTTTGTGTGTATATCTAATTTTTATTTTGTTTTAAGGCATGTCTCATTATACCCTTATAAACCTCAAAAATCCGATGAACTTGAGTTAAAACGTGGACAATTATATATGGTAACTGAATGCTGCAAGGATGGATGGTATAAAGGAACTTCATTGAAAACTAATTGTTCTGGTGTATTTCCAGGAAACTATGTAACACCTGCAAAGTAATATTTGAAAAATAATATTAATTTTCTTTAAATATTAATTTTGACTATTGATAAATTATTATTAGAATATCTGTTCGTCTACTTGGAAAATCTAGCAATAATTCATCTTCAGTACAAGAACAAAAAGATGATAATTTGTCATTTAGTGGTCAATTAAACGGTAAAATTATTATTATTGAAATTTTCCTTAATTCATTTCATTTTCATAATTAATAATATAATAATATATAGGTGATAACTATTATAACTCTTTGTTAACTTAAAAAATAAATTAAATTTATAAAAAAAAAATTACCATGAATTTGTACATTACATTTATATAATATATATAATATATTTTTATAGATTGTAGTTTTCAAAGTGATATAGATGAAAATTTACCTTTATATCCACCACCTGAACTACCACCTCGTAGCAGTAGTCCTTCTGTACATAGTCGTGTATCAAGTTGGTTATCCGAAATGCCATCAACATCTTCTCGAGTACGATCAGCACCTACACACAATGTTAAATCTATGTGTTGCAATACAGGTATTATAAAATAAATTAATTTTAGTTGTACAGTTGATTTTAATTTGAATGTTCATTTTCCTTCACTAGGTTTGCCCAATTCATCTAAACCTACATCAGCATTAACTGACAAAGATTCAATTGCTGCATGTGTGAATACTGTTGCTGGCGCTGTAGCTCCTTGTACTGCTGCATCACCATCACATTCCGTGAGCCCTGAAAATGTAATATAAGATGGCTATTTACTTCCAATGAATTAAACAATAATATAAGTTAAATTTTATTATTTCAGATGGCTCAAAAACGTGGAAGGAAAAAATGCTTTCTTACAAATTCAGTGATGCGTAGTTTTTCTAACATAAAAATTAGAAAATCCCCTCCCCCTGTGTATTCAATGGATAATCCAGTATTTGATGATAATACTTCTACCAACACTATGGTCCCACCACCACAACCAGTTCACTCTAGGTAATTAGAGAATGTAATTTGAGTGTAATTTTGTGTTTGGTCACCAATCACGCTTTTTTGTTGTTTCATGTAGCAATTATTTGTGGTTATCTTTTTGTTTTTTGCTTTTGCATGTTTCATTAAAGATCCGATTCTTGTCCTTCAAAATTACTGAATGTAGATGCCATACAAAGAATTCCTGAGCAACTTTCATTAAAAGTCAGAGGAAATCATAACCTTAAAAGGTGAGAAAACTAAAAAAACAGTAGCTTATTGATAAGTCTGTATAACTTTTAAATAGTCATGACATTAGCATATTAGAGTTTAAATATACTAATGAGTTAGGCCTGGAAGTTTATGCACTAAAAACTAACGAAATATGTATGCACTTATGCGCTTAAAAATCCTGATTTATGCACTTCAATATGCCCTTATTTTTTTTTTTTACTTATAAATATGAGAAAAAAAAATTATTAATTATGAATTTATGAGATACTACTCACAATATGTATTTCAATTTCTCTGACTAGTAATTAAAAACATTATTTCATTAATTAATATATATTTTTCAACATTACAATTCACAATCAACGGTTTTGATAAATTCTCAAATTTGAACAACCGCTTGTTATCTGCCAACATATTTTTGTACACCAAAAAGCTTCGCTCCACATCAACCGAAGAAATTGGTGCGTATTTACGTATTTAAAATATAGTAAACTATCACAAGAAAAATATTCAGGTAAATTATCCATTGTCATTTCTTTTCCCAGCATAATTTTTGAAATGTTGGATAGTGTTTTAAAACCCAGATTCTTTACAATAACTTGTTCAAATTTAACAAAAGTATCGTTATCGTAATGAAAAATATTAAAACTTTTCTAAAAATAAACATATTATCCATTAGCTGCTATCGGGCCACCACCGCCGTGGGGTTGTAATAGGTTTTTTAGAAGTAATTTATTTTGTCAATTACATAATATTTGACTCAAATATGTAGTTAATAACAAACAAATTGTAAAATATGCACATACATAAAAAAAAAACCCAAAATATGCAATTATATGCAAAATAAAATGTTGTATTTGGATTTGTATAAGTATAATTCAAATTTGTAGCTGATCTAGCAATTGTTTAGTCCATTCAGTAAAAACATGCAAATCCATGAACTTCCGGTTCCTACTAATGAGAGAAGTTATATTTTATTTAAATCTCCAATACAATTTGCTTAAAACAGAACTTAAGTTTTATAACATTTTTTTTATGTATGTGAATGTGAGTGTTTTAAATTTTTGCATGTTTTTTTCATATTATTTGATTTAAAATATTCAAAGTGAAAATAAAATTGAGTTTGTCTTGCTTTTGTCAAAAATACTAAGTCTTAGCTATATTTATGTACAATAACTAGCTTATCTGGTAAACGTTGTATTGTTTAAATGTTTGAAATAACTAACCAAAGTAAACCTTGAAAGTAAACCAATACAATTTTCAATCTCCCAAGTTTTTTGGTGGGAAATGTGTGAAAAAAGTGTATGATAATTATTGAAATTGAACATTATAAAATCAAATAATCAGGATGTATCCATATCAGGTCCATACCTGGGTCCACAAAATAAAAATTAAAAATTAATATTTTGTATTTAAAATTTCCATTGCTATTTTAACAGTCTTGAAATATTGTAAATTATTAAAATTTCTGCACACATAATTATGCAATATTAATTTAGGTTTTTGGTATGATTCTTAAAAAAATAATCGTAAATACATGAAATTTTCACTAAATGTTTATATTAGTATTTTCTATACCCACACAATTTTCAAAATAGTTAACTGTTATAAACATTAATTTTAATAATGTTTATTTAACATTTAATATTCAAATTTTAACAAAATGAATCAAATTGATAATTGTACAAATTATTTTGTAGATAGTTAAAAATTGATAACATTTTCAATTTGTGTAGCTAAGGATTGACGTTTAAAATAAAGTTCCATGTAAGTAGTTCACACTGTAACAACTGTACCGTTTTTTTTTTTCATAAGCATTTGAAGTTCGAATTTGGCGAAATTAGATATTTAAGTGAAGAATAACAAGATTTGTTGTAATTTAAAAAATATTATTCTTGGGTGCTTGAAACTTATTTACCGGGAATTAGGAACAAATAGACTTAGGTAACGCCGTCTAGATTACCGTGTTCTCGGTTTATCAGAAGACTATCGAGGCTCTATTGTACTTAGTAATGTAATAGACTGACAATCTTTGCTCAGAATCGTTTTTCGTATGCAAAACCTTGTTAAAACCTAATTTTAACAATAATATCTTAAGTGAAGAGTTGAAGGATAGTTTGTTAATGTGATATGCTCTTAGTAATTGATGAAGCCTTTTAAATTTTGTAATAAAATGTTCTTTAATTTTAGTGAACAGCAACCAAATGGATCATCGGTTTTAATACATCATCGTAAATCACATAGTTTAGATACAAATAATGGTGTTTCAGTAGACATTAAACCGCAAGATCGAAAACTTAAACAAAGTTCACGTACTCAGCAAAATATGTAAGTTCAATATGAAGTAATGTATAATAATTAAAATAGAGTCCAGATGTAGTATGTACTTGTGAAAGTTATTTCATAAATTTATTTTATTTCATATTTTTATAAACATTTTCCATGCAATATCAAATTTTCAAAATATTTTGACTTTTTGAATTATTTATAAAAATGAGACATTTTTTATCTTATTTTTGATTATTTTTTTAGCTTATTTTTGACTATTGTTTATAAATAATTTTTTTCTTGGTGAAAAAATTTAAAAGTTTAATACATGATTGCTCATAAGTTTTTCTACCAATAATAAATAAATACATTTTCTAAAAAGCCATAAACATTTTTAATGAGCGTTTAAATTTCTAATTTCTATTTGCTTACCTTTTTATGCTTAATATTATTACCACCTAATATATTTAACTATTATGCATTTCATTTTTAGGTGCAGGTGTATTGTTGCATATCCACCAAATAGTGAGTACGAATTAGAACTCCGAGTAGGAGATATTTTGTATGTACATAAGATTAGGCAAGACGGGTGGTATAGAGGAACATTATTGAGAACCGGTAAAAGTGGTTTGTTTCCATCAAGCTTTGTTGAGAAAATTTAATAATATTTTCTGCCTAATTTATCGTAAATAGTTTTATTTAGGAATATTAGTCATCGTTAATTTAATTTAACTTAACTATTAGACTACCTAATTATTTATTGGTAAAATAATAAATATATCTCATAAAATTTATGTACCAGAGTTGCATCTAGGGTGTAGTAAACATTTAGACTCTTAAAATATTTAATCCATCTTGTGTAATAATTTGACTGCTTCGGTTAAGTGTATTTTTATTTATATTAAAAACTCAATAAATTTAACAATATTTATTAATTAAAAGTTAAAACATTTTGTATCTTATGTGATATTATATATTTTAGAAACAGAAGTCAACTATATTAGGTATAGATTTTATTATAAGTTTTACTAGAAATCAATACAATATTCAGATTTCATATTTGTATAATTTAAAATTTGTTGTAATATAATTCAAAGACGAATTATATTTTATTTATTTTAATATTGGATATTAAATACACCCATAATTACAGCGTATCCAAAATATTGTTAATTTGTTGTTATTAAAGCTATGTTTTTGTAGGTATACTAAAAATTGTCATTGAGAGGTTTTTAAAAACAAAATTTATATATATATATATATAATATATAATTAAGGTCAACTGATAATTTTTTACTTCATTTTATTTAAGATCCCAGACTTAACTACTAGATAAAAGATACAATTATTCTTTTTATTACATAACTATGTTTATTTTGTCTTCAAATACATTTTTTTAATTAACATTTGCTCTGAGTTGTGACATTTGCATTTTTTGTAAAAATTTAACTATCTTTATTAATATTATATAATTTAATAATGCTGAATTAGAATTATGGATTAATGTTTAATAATACTTGAATAAAATGTTAGGTACCTATTATATTTTCTTTTGTCAAATGTAGAAAAAATAAACCAAGTGACCAAGCCCATATAATCAAAAAATAAATAAATTATAAAAATGTAGTGTGTTTTAGATTTTTATTTAATTGTCCTAACTAAATTTTATTAAAAACTAAACAGAATTTAGTTGTTTCAAATGGTTGTAATTATATTATTAAATTACATAGAGTGATAAATGATCAATGTTGTTTTTTTTAAATTTAAATGCATGTTTACATTTTCTTTTTATCTTATATTCAATACTTTTTGAGTGTTGAATATGTAAAATAAAGATATAGATACTTTTCTTGTGATATTTACATTGACTTTTATTATTTTTTATAAATGTAATCATAAATATTAATACATGTTTTGTTATAAATTGTATGTATCATGTAATTATATTAATTACAATTTTAATCATTAATATGTTTTGATATGTATAATATATACCTATAACCGTTCGGAGTAACTTCGGAATCAAATATAACATCATAATTTTATTACAAACTAAGATTATTAATATTTTAAACTCAGAAAAATCTATTTGTTTGTGAAATAAAACACAATTCTATATATTTAAATATTTTTTAAATTATAAAAGTATATTAATTATTTTGATAATAATAAAAAAAACTGCTGTATCCAGGGTTGTTACTATTATAAACTATTTACCTCTAGAATTCCTATTTATTTATTTTTACTTTGAAAACATTAATAATATAATTTAGATATTTTAACAAAATCATATTATACTTTAGTAAATAATAATAATAAATAATTCATTAATTGGTATTGGAACAAATCATTTGCTATTTTTTATAAATTAGTGACAACCCTGATTTTATTTAATTGATTAAAAAAAAGTTTGTGTGCTTTTAATAATATACTTAAATTAAATTATTAATATTGTTTGCAAAGCAATAATAAACAACTAATTGCTACATTAATCAATTTTCTAGTTTCAGAATATTTGTATTAGATTAAAAATACTAGTGTATTAGACAAATATCAATAAGTCCCGTTTCATTAATCAGTGTTGCTTATAATTATTTATCTACCTATATATATATATATATATATATGTATAAATTAACATAAGTAAGATATTAGGCTCAGAATCTACTTAACTATTTTCAATAAAAGTGATATTAATAGATTCCTTTAGACTTGGAGGGTGTTTATATCTTATTTTTTCAACCCATATGTAACTCGCACATAAATGTTTTTTTCAACCATCACGAAAAAATTATTTGCCAATGGTTGCCATTGATTACATATTATATTACTATTATAATTTGTATGTCATTTACATTTTTACAAATTTATATATTTTAAATAAAAAACTAATCCTTAGCAAAAACCAATTTTAGTTATCTTTGGTGAAGTTTGGCACAACAGATGAGTTGCTGCGTATAAAACCAATTTTTTTGAAGTAGTAGGTCATGTATATTGTATGGTATTCTGCAACTGGTTTCCAGTCAAACCTACTTATTTAGTATGTTGCACATAAATAAATACATACATTAAAAAAATAAAAATATGTGTCTTCAAAGGAAATGTGGAAAATATGATTTGATACTTTCTACATCTTCATTAACTAGGTAATATTTCAATTATTATTATTTTAAATATGATTAGAAGAAATAATTGGTTTCGTATCAAAAGGAATTATTTGACCGACTATTTATTTACTTTTTTAAATTAGTTTAATTATAATAATGATTATTTTCAGATCCAATGCATTGATATCTATGTTGAATTTCAACACTTATCCCTGCAATCCAATGACAATATTAATTATACTATAAATCATTAAAGAAATTAAAGAATTTTGTTAAATCGATTTAAAAAATTTGGTTCTCAAAAATATTACAGTTAATAGAAAATGTGTGATAAATGGTGGTTTTATTATATAAATAGCTGTCTCGCCCAGTATTTCACATACCAAAATTATGATTGTATTTTTATGATCTTTAACCAATGGTGGCAACCTTATAAATTAAAAAATAAAATATTCTTTTTTCGTCAGCTGAAAAAAATTTATTTGCAGGCTACTACTAGAGTTAAAAAATAAGCTATAAACATATACTCCAAGTTTCAAGGAATCTATTGATATAACTTTATATTGAAAACATTCTAGTAATTGATGAGTCTATTAATTACAGGCAGACCGATATGCCAACATCCAATTTTATGTATAAAGATAAAGGTTTGTGATATATGATGTATCATAGATTATTAGATTATTATAGCTTTACCCACTATAATACTATACCAATAAAATATGCTGATCAAAATTATTATGTATTTCAATATGTACAAATTAATTTAAGAGTTAAATTTTTCCCTTAACACTATTTCCAACTTTTTTTCTGATCTGTTATTTATTTATTTTTATTTTTTGATGTAATACAGAAAGTATCTTTCTTTGAATTGTTTTTGTAATTTATTTTGTACCTGTTTTTATTTATTAATTATTTTTATGAAGCTTAAATTATAATTTTAGTATTTTATTAATACTTATGATAGTTTTTTTTCCAAGATAACCTTATTACCTACTATTTAAAAATATGTGCCTGTTCAGACTTCATCTTTCCCAGGGCTTACCCAGAATCTATTTTTGGCCAATCACATAAGACAAATAGGTAACTTAAGTTCTTGTTTTTGTTAACACTAATATCAAAAACCAAAGACTGAAATATAAAATCTTCTGGCTTGTTATAATTATTTATTTATTTGAGCATTTTTCTTATCGAAATAATATTTATACTGACTACTAGATAAGGTTTTTTAAATTAACAGCTTGAGTGTAACTTTACTTATAGTGGTATTTTCTGTATTTTCTGTGGCAGAAACATTTTTTCCAAGCAAAATTTCCTAACTCTAAATACATTAAAACAAGAATAAGAAATAAGGGCTGAGTACACGGTGGAGGGGGTTAGGTGGTTCGAAGCCCCCTTTATAAAATGGAAAGTATGTAAATATATCTAATCTAGTATCTATAAACATTTAAAACGACTATAATTTCTATAATATTATAATATGTCATTTTTATGATGACCATCCCTCCCTTCCATATTTTAAATTTCTGTCTACTGCAGTGTAAGGAGTGTAGTACACAATAATTGTAATGTGTGTTTATAAATTATATGTTATGTTAATAAATAATAATAAATATTTGGAGTTGTCGATGCATATAATGATCAATTAAAAAATAATATAAGTATATATAATTAATAATAATAAAACAATGATTGTCGAGTCCTTGTCACTGTGATTAGTATATTATTTTATTGAAACTAAGGAAAACCTATGTGACGCACGTTCTGTTTAAAGCAACGGTATTAGTGTATAAGCAATACTATAACGATATTAAAATCTTACAATTTAAACGAGAAATAATGATATAAATTATAAAAACCGGCCAAGTGTGAGTCGGACTAGCCCACGAAGGGTTCCGGTACCATTATCTATCTATATTCTATAAGAACGGCAACAAAATCACGTTTGTTGTATGGGAGCCCTCTTAAATATTTATTTTATTAATAAGTATTTGTTGTAGTGGCAATAGAAATACGTCATCTGTAGAAATTTGAACCTTCTAAGTATCACGGTTCATGAGATTGGAGCTATTGAATTGGCTCCTTAACTCAGGTAATCGTCATTTTTACGTATTTAATTGGCTCCCAAGATTTATGCATTGAGTTAGCTCCCTACACATTTATGTTATAAATCAATTGGTTATCAAAATTGTGTGCAAATAAATTCAACTATAGGTACGTTTATACGTTGAAAATATAAAAGTTGAAAAAGTACGCGACTGTAATATTTTTAGTAATCGCAGTATTCGCAGTTCGTATCTGTCGCAGTTCGTTGCATTTTTTCGTAATTCGTACCTATACATAGAATATAAAATGAATTGTGTAGAAAAATGACAAGTGAAAAGGGAGAATTAATTTTAATAGTTAATGAGTTTAAACTTAACTACCATAAGCTTCTCCAAATGCATTTAAACGATTCAAATGTACTAAAGGAGGATGCAAAGCTTATTTAAGAATTTGTAACCAAGAAAATGTTGTATGGGAATCGTCCAATCTTAACCATAACCACGATCCTGATGAAGAAAACAAACTTGAACGCCAAATTATTAGTAACGGACTGAAAAGAAAAGCTGTTGAAAGTTTATGTGAACGCCCTCCAAATTGTTGCATTCATACTTAAGGGAAAATTCAACAAATTCAATAACAACGCAAGATGCCAAATTCATAAATATGACAAAGGTATAATATCCAAATTTGAATGTATAATAATTCTCGCACACAAATTTAAGCCTACTAAATAATATTAAAACAGTGCAGGTCAGTTAATATTTTTGATGGAATATTTGTATTTTAATTATTTTAATATATAACTGAATTTATTTCGCGTACTTTTTGAA